GCCTTGGTCTCCAGAGTGCTTGGATTACAGGCGTGAGCCACCACGCCCGGCCTCTTTTTTTTCTTATGTGTCTTTCTGATATGTAACATATTCAGGGTAGGGCCTGGGCACCTGCTTCGTGGACCAGGTGCAGGGATCTAATTAGAAAGTCTGTCCCTTTTTGGAATGAGCTCTGATTTAGTTCCCTCTGATTTAGTTCCAGCCAAAGAGGAAGCTAATGCTGTTCCTCTTTGTAGAGCAAAACCCTCCCCCAGCTATATTAATCTTCAAGCAAGTTCCCCACCAGCCACTTTTCTGAACATCCAGACAACAAAGCTGCCCTCAGGTAAGGATGTAAGGAGGGCTTTCTAACGGACTCAGCAGGGGGAACGGTTGCATGGAGGAGGCGTCGGAGCTGTCTTCTACTGATCGAGAGCCAAATCTATGTTAAGGCATCTCTGGTTTTTTCCCTGGTAGCTTGTTGATTATTTAGTTTTATTTATTTAATTTTCATCCCAGTTCTACCAATTTCTATTGTTTTCTTGCTTGTTAGCACCTTTGCTAGACTAGGCAGGAGTGAAGTGAACCTCTCATTGCTTACGGTAATGTTAAAAGATGGCCAGGTTTACCCTTGATCACTTGAGTAGGTCAAATTGTTTTAAAAAGGAGGCTGGGAGTGGTGGCTCACGCCTGTAATCCCAACACTTTGGGAGGCCGAAGTGGGTGGATCACCTGAGGTCAGCAGTTAAAGACCAGCCTGGCCAACAAGATGAAATCCCATTTCTACTAAAACAAAAAATTAGTTGAGCTAGGTGTTACACAATCCTAGCTACTTGGGAGGCTGAGACAGGAGAATCGCTTGAACCAGGAGGCGGAGGTTGCAGTGAGCCAAGGTCACGCCACTGCACTCAGCCTGGATGACAACAGTGAAACCCTGTCTCAAAAAAAAAGAAAAAAAGGTGGCCAGAGAAGGAAATGTAATTATTAGCTCAGTGTCAAGTTCTTAGAATTTTCACCATTTATTTTCCCCTGGAGAGGTCAGTGGGTATTTGGCATACCTATGGGGAACCCAACAGGGCACTAATCAGACAGTCATAACCCCTATTTTTAAGGACCTCAGAGTCCAACAAAGAAGTCAAGACTAATAAAAATGCAGATAATATAATTACCAAGGTTAACTGGCTGTGTATGGTGTAGCTTAAAAATATTAGGAAAAGTGGCTGGGCACCGTGGCTCATGCCTATAATCCCAGCACTTTGGAAGGCTGAGGTGGATGGACCAGGTCAGGAGAGATCAGCCTGGGCAACATGGTGAAACTCTGTCTCTACTAATAATACAAAAATTAGCCGGGCATGGTGGTGCCTGCCGGTAATCTCAGCTACTTAGGAGGCTGAGGCAGGAGAATTGTTTGAACCTGGGAGATGGGGGTTGCAGTGAGCAGGATTGTGCCACTGCACTCCAGCCTGGGAGACAAAGCAAGGCTCT